GGGGGGGGGGGGGGGGGGGGGGCGGGGGGGGGGGGGGGGGGGGGGGGGGGGGGGGGGGGGGGGGGGGGGGGGGGGGGGGTGGTTCCACTCCATGCCCAAAACCAAAACTAGATTGCAAGGCTTCTAGCCCAATTCCGCCGGGCCAGAAGCGAACCCGCCCTTTCGTTTAGACAAGGGGTGTGGGTGCGTGTGTCGTGAGGCCGCGAGGGTACACATGTGTGCGTGCATGCTTGTGCCTGTGATGTGTCTGGCTGTGTTTGTGGGTGTGGACATTTTTTGCATTTTCTGGAGGCTATACCGCCTATGCAACGGGCGGCCAGTACTGCCGACCTGCGAACTCACCCGACATCTGCAGACGTCGCCCGCAGAGCTGAACAGGGCCTCCAGCTGCATGCGCTCCCGAAACCATTAATTATTTGTGAGCCCAGCGAGCGAGGTGCGGCGCTGCGGGCATTGGACTCGGCACATGTGCGGTGTAATGCCACCTGTGCTATGCTATGCCTTGCCCTGCCCGTGAGCTTCTGCTTTGAGACTCACTCACTCACTGCCTCTTCCTGGCCTCTGCTCGCCGGCCGGTCAGGATTCTAATTACCAGTGCAATGTTGCGTATAACAGCCGTTGTTATTAGCGGAGCGAGGCCGTTCGGATACAATTCAAGCACCGACAGCAATGAAACAAATCTTGCTGCCTACCAGAGTGCTGGGGTTTAATTTCCATCGCTCAGTCTCGTTGGTTCCTCAGGACCCTCCTTGGATGCTACGTACCTCTTTGTTGATGCTAGTACTTTGGCTAATCCGATCGTCTAGCAGGAATCAACAGCCCTCTTCCTGGACGGGACAGGGCAGGCCCAACGTACAGCCCCATCACGGCCGATCTCACTTATTTGTAGGCAAGCTCGCCACAAACGAGCAAGCGCTATCTGGCCGCGCTCAGAAGGGAAGGTATGTACTAATCAGACTGGTGATCATTCCAAAAATCTAGTAAGGCAGGAAAGAAACGACCGGGCTAGTCGTAGGGGAGCCTATCCCAATCCTCCCTAGGCACGCAGCGTAATAAATCTATCGGCAAAGTACCTTTCTTGGCGGGACGATGGCGCTCTCTCTGCCAATTACTTGCCCGAGGAGATCAGAACCACTGTCTCTCAGCCGCCTCTAGGGGGCTTGGAGCTTGGATGGCTGGTTTCCGAGAATAATGCATGTTGGGCACTATGATAAGCCATGATCCAGGCCCGTCCAGCCAATGGCACGGCCTTGAGTTGCGATGTCTTCCTCTCATTTTTCTTCTTCCTCTGCCTGACCTGTGTATGCAGTCTTAGTGGCGCGGCAACGGGCGCAGAGCCATGGCCGTATCCGACAATGGAAGAGCATTGGCTGTGCCTGCCGGAGCGAAGGAGCAGGACATACGTTGGATGTCGTAGTTTGGTGCCATCGCATTCTCAGACATGCCCAGTGATCTCCCTGTGACACCTGCACTTGATACTCGAGAGAGCTTGGTTCCAGGCTAGGCCCAACAGCTACCTACCCTCTTTGGTAGGTACGCAGCATCGTCCATCGGCATAGCGTACTAGAGCTCGGGGGAGCACCCCATTAAATTAAATAAAGACCGGCCCCAAAACCGGGACGCGTCTTTTTCTCCTGTATAAGGGTCCCCGGCCTGGGTCCCAGGATAGCATCTCAAGCACTTGATCAACTGATGGCTCGGCTTACCGTTGCATTTCTGTTGGGCCACCACTTGAAGGAGTCCACATTTGCCATACATAACGTGAGCTCTACAAGCCGATGACTGGGGGCAAAAAGAAGCCAAGTGCAATAAAGTGCCGTGGATACCAGGCCTGCATCTCTTCCGGTGTCCCCACCAAAAGGGCCAGCACCAAGGCAGGTCTTTCACGATGTGTCTGTCTCTGGCTACGAGGTAGTGGTCCGAGTTTCTCGCCATCTGACGACCTGTCGTGCGCTCCCGGCCGAGGGAGAGATGCCTGCCCGTGGACGAGGTGAGATGCATGTACCTGCACCCATCGGCATCGAGGTACCTCTCTCCTGCGCAGGGCTGCTTGGCCGGGCTGGCAGCTCGAGCTCGCGGCAGCCAGACTGCGTTGGGGACTGAGACCTCCAGTACTGGTAAGACTCAGTCAGTACCAAGACTCAGGCAGTGCCTGCGACCGCTGAGCGATGGAGGTAGTCGGTACGCGGTACATGCGTCCACTCAGTCACCAGATCGGACCCCCTGGATCGCACAACCCACCGACATTTCCACAGCAGCAGGCCCTGCAGCCGCCTGGCTGGGAAAATTTGGCCGCACTTCCCACTAGGGTTCAGATTCTACCTTAGTTCTGTCCGTGGCAGGTACGTACCATCCTCCAGCACGATGCTGCTGTCCAGCTCCAGCTCCAGGGGCCCTTTTCCCTCTCCTGCCACACCCGACCTTGTCAAAAGCCAGGCTGAGGCCACACCCCTCCCCAATCCCGAGCCCCAGTCGCAGGCGGCCACCACGAGGAAGTTGCCATTGCGTCAGATCTTGCCCATCATAGCGTGGTCGTGGCTTACCGGCTGCGGAGCCAAAGCATCGTCTCTTCCTTTCTTTGCCTGTGTCTTAGCATCTGCGTTTATGTACGTACTCTCCATGTAGCATCCTTTACTCGGCCTACCCCTTCCTTCCCGGCTCAATCTGCCCACACCACGCTCCTCCGTCCACACGGGTCTGTCTCTCTGGGGGCTATCGGCCTGGGGCCCTATTCACTACGATTTGTCTTGCTTTTTTTTTTCCTTCTCACATCCTGGGCCCCTGTCTTTTCTTTTCTCTACCCCCCTGGCGTCTTGAACGTTGGGTCGTGCGTGCATTTTAACTAAGATCTCTTTCCTTTCCTCGCCCCCCTCTCCACTAGACAGAGACTTGTGACAAGTTAAGATCAGATCGACTGTGCGCGCCATCTATCTTGTCTGCCGCCACGGCGACTCGTGGGCTCATTCCTCCAATACATATTATCACAACAGATCCCACCCAGATTTCACTCCAACTTCCTCCCATGCTTGTTTCTTGTTCTTAATATTCTCGCGGAAGCTTCAGATGTGTCGTCTCCTCTAAGCTTGCCTCCATCAGCTATCCTCCAGGCGCGTAATGGATGCGCCTGATGGTCATAGGCGAAAGTACGTCTTGCCTTGTGTTCTCTCATCCTCTCTTGCCCCCATCGTACTCTCTTTCCGGTGCGAGCATTATAAACTTGGCCACCTCCCCACCCCTCCCTCCACCTCTTCTCCTACCTTTCTTACATCTGGTTACTAACATGGTCCAACCTCAACAGCGGCTCTCTGTCTACCAACCACACTGGCAAACAGCAAACTCATCCCAACTTCCAACCTTATAGAGAAACACAGGAGAGGTCACCCCAAGATCATCCGGCCATGGCCACGGCGACTCTTTTACACCCTACCTCCTCATTCCCACCTCCGCAACCCTACTCCTATCCTCACCATAACCCAAGCATGATCTCGCCGACCGAGTCTCGAAATGAGGACAGCGACTCTTCTAAGCGCCAGTCTCTGCCCTCCATCTCGGAGGTGATATCCGGCGCAAAGCCCTACGCTCAGCAATCGAACGTCCAACCTTCTCCCTCCAGCTTCTCTCCCTTCACGTCCAACTCTCGTTCGTACTCGGAGCCCGAGAAACATGCTCCTCCCCCTCAGGCGCCACTCCCACCTCCACCTGGTTCCTTCTCGGCATCGAGGCAGGAGCCTCTTCCTCCATTCTCAGGCTCACCAAGACTGCCTTACAATGGACGCCCAGGCTTACCTCCGGTTTCCGACCGGCGCACGAGCCCGCCTATCAAGTCTGAGCTACCTCACCACATGCAGGACCAGCCTAAAGATCACCGACCGCTCAATGGCTATCCGCACCCATCTCATTCTGCTGGCCCACCTCCTCCCCCGAGCTATTCGAGCACACCACTTCCTCCTGGCCAATTGCACCTACCCTCCTCATACCACCCCGTCTCCCCGCGACACGCACCTCCCCATGTATATGGACATTACGATCAGCGCCCACCGCCGATTGGAATGGACGATGGCCGACACCACCATTCGGAGTTTAGCAGAGTCTTTGAAACAGGCAACTATCACGACTCTCTGAGCAGAGTACGTCTCCAATTCACCCTTTGACGCACGATCTTGGCTGACAATAAGACTTCAGATGGCTCAAGCTTCTCGAACCATGTTCACCTTTGCCGATGCGTATTCTAGGCTTGCACAGGAACAGCACGGGCCCCACCATATTCCAGAACGCCTACCGACGGAACAGGAGGTCAATGATATGATCGCCAATGCCGAACTTATCCGTAACTCGCTTGAGTTTGTCAGAGACGTGGTACAGCAATCCATCCGCAGCGAACGGGCTCGCGAGGGCAACAAGCCAAAGGCACCCATGCACTACGATGACGAGGAGGATGTCCACATGTACGGAGAGGGCATGAAGACGCAATACACCATTACAGAGGTGAAGAAGCGTCGTGGAGTAAGTTTGCTACTAGGCGAATATTCACAAGGACGGAACTAACCAGTCTAAAGCGTGCCGCGCCACCAGGAAGATGCCATAGCTGCAACCGTGTCGATACCCCTGAGTGGAGACGCGGGCCCGACGGTGCTAGAACTCTTTGCAATGCTTGTGGTTTGCACTACGCTAAACTCGAGCGAAAGCGCCAGCTTGAGCAGAGGTCAATCCGGCCAAAACCCGACGAGAGAAGTCGTGAATCATCAGGCGGCAACGGGCCTGATGTCAAGAACGGGCCGTACATATAAGTCACGGGCCATTTCGGTGTTTGAAATCTGGGCGTTTCGATCTTGGTTTTATTTGGAGGACGGATTCGGGGTTGGGCTTTGCAGGTTCACTTTCCTTCCATACCAAATGGGGGGCGTTTTTTTTTTGTACGTGTTTACACGACTTTATTGTACAGACATTTCGTGTCTCGGGAATCGCGGCATAATGGGCGTTAACATACCTATCTGGGCGGGCTTCAGTCTACTGTTATTACTGTTGGAATCATTCTATATAACGACGACCTACAGCGGAGGAACTGTCTATTCAAGGCTTAGACAACTCAAAAAAGACACTATTTTATCATTACAGGATTTGTCCCATCCTCGAAGGGAGAGGGAGGGAGGAGAGATATTCCCTCTAGTGACTTGGTAAGGAGAAGATTCACGACTCACACTTCACGATTCACGATTCACAACAACCAATGGCCTGGCGGAAGCAGGTTATATCCAGCCTGCCAGGCTGTTCACCTATGCCAACTGGGGTCTGAGCCCGACCTGTCGAGGAGACCCGTGTCTTGGGCGCCATTTGCGATGCAGTCAGCACGGAGACACACAAGCGATGGACGGTACGTACTTTCTGAACCAATCTAGGGAGCAAAGGAAGAAGCCAAAACAGCCACCGCGGGGGGTCGGTCCTCCTGGTGGAACACATCTCTCCTCAACTTACTCAGCTTAGAGGATACCTACGTACGTACATACATGCTATGCTATGCTATGCTTTCCTCTCTAGGTTTCGGACCCGATATCTGCTTGCTTCCTTGTCTGCCGAGGTTTCACTGGTATACATACTACGCAGCCATCGATCATGCCGGAGAGAGGACCCGGGGTAGTAGGTTTGACAAAAACCACACCATTTTCCATTTGCCTTGGATCATGGGGGGGACGCAGGGAGAGAGAGGCTCTCACTTCGTACAACCCAACGACACAACGGATCTGCGAAACGGTTTGTCTATGCAATAATCGGGCAGGGCGACACGACAAAGGCCAAAGGGTACGACAGTCGACGTTCGGACCTTTTGCGAGAACCGGACAATTCCTCCGACGGCCAATGGGCGAGCATTGTGACGTACACTTTTTTTCGGGCTTACAATTGGCTTCATGCAGCCAACACTGGCTGATGACGGAGGTGATGAATTATTGGAAAGTTAAACCACCATGGATGGGCTCAACAGCCAACGGCGGTGCGTGTCTGAAGTGAGCTGTCACTTCTCACTGCGTAGGCAGTCCATGTCGGAGAGCTGAGCGCGCGGAAAGAGCACGTATGTAGCAGGCCTCTTACACACTCTCCTACTCCTCCTACTCCTTTCCGCTGCCGGCCCTCGGCCCTAAAAGAGGACGGTGGGGTCGTGCTCGCGGTGAATGTGCTGGTTAGGCTGGTGATGTGAAACACGGTGAGGAGAGCCAAAGAATATGAGAGCTCGGGTTTGCGTATGCAGTCGATATGCTTGGTACAAAGGGTGGCTCTTGAGTCGGACAAAGCAAAGGAGGCAAGAAAAGGAAAGCAAGGCCAGATCTTGAGCGGTTCATCGGAATGCAGGGTTTGGTGGGGAGTGCAGTAGCCTCAACGTCAAGGCACTTTCACACTCACCCCCTCCTCATCCGGCACCATCTCAGGTTGCGTTCTATTGTGGCGAGGCGGAATTCCGTTACATGCCGACCTTGGATTTTAATGACTTGGTGGGAAACTGCGTCTTACCGATGTGACCTTGTTGCAGCGAATGTAGTACACGTTGGGCAAAGGAGGTCGCTTGTGCAACGGGGATGGCGGCCGCAGGAAGAGAAAAAGATGAAGTAAAAGGTACCAAGCCCCCTCCGATGTCTGACAGCAGCAGCATCGTTGATGTTCAGCCCGTTTCGGATCTGTGATCGATAGCCGGCACTGGGCTTCAACGGCGGCGCGGCAGGCAGGACGGCTCAATACTGGGGCTGACCAAGTCTACACCGCCGCCCTTTACTTTTTCGGAGATCAGTGTGTGGCATTCGACGCAGACGTACTGAAGGTTGGGCTAGTCGAACCTAACGCAAGATTAAAGGCACGGTCAGTCTTGGGGAGGGAAAAGGACAGCATGTCGGCATGCAAGTCTATTGGTGCGGAACCCGAAAATGATAGGTGCTTTTTCCCAGCAAAGACCGTGTCTTAAGCGGGACACGAGTGCGAATGACTGACAAGAAAAGTCACCGGGGGAGGGGATCTATAGTCATGGACCACAGTCCAGACTTGGTGATGGAAGATTAGCTTGCATCTGTTGTGTGAGACGAGAAGCGCCACCGCAGCGTCAGGGCTGGGAAACGAAGCGCAAAGGCCACCCCTCAAAGGGCGGGTTCAGGATTCATTCAAGTGTCTATCATTTTCTCTGACCTTGCGAGGAGCGGAGTGGAGGAGCAGAAAGGCGTTGAACCCCGAACGGGTCTAGGGATGGACGCCTTACGGAAAGGCGATGTGACTGATATGCAGCCACGGGCAGCTGACGACCAAGCGCATGACACGGGTGTAGGTGTGTATAGGCACGGGAGAGGGCCCAAGGCCAAAGCGAGACCTGGCGCCTATCAAATCTAACCCCCCGATCATCCTGTGGGAAGATGGGTTCCGTGTATTAGTAGGTACACGTAATGGGCCAGGATGGACTTCTGGTGGATGGGAGGTTAGGTTATCTATCACATACTCCACGTGGCAGACAAAAGAAGCATGGGGTTGCGAGACTCTGTCCGGCTGAGCTATGTGATTGGGAAGCGCGGTATGGAGCTCTGCAAAGGGAGGCAACGGGGCGATGGATGCGAGGGGAACTGCAAGAAATCATGCATGCAGGAGGAGAGGTGCATCGCATCTGGTGTGTGCGGGTGCATCCACCTCGGAGTGCTGTGTCGAGGAGCGCATGAGTGATGCTGCAGCTCTGCTCGGTTCTATCACACCGGGCGCGCGACGAGAATCAATAATTGATAAACATGCATGATGTGCCGTGTGAGGAGGCGCGGTACATCCACCCTCCCTCACCTTACCTACCTGCATCTACTCATACCTGACCTCAAGGTAGGTACTTGCCGGCCGATGGGCTGATACATCGCTCCTGCAAGTCTTGAAAGGCTCTTTCCCAACCTTGCACCTTGCCTATGCAGGCAAGAACGCTGAGATGGCCGATCCAATATTCGCGGCAGGCACGTTGGGCGCCAATTGCCTGCGTGTCTTACAGCTTCATGCAGCTGCCTCTGCCTTAGTCTCCGCCTTGTTGCCTGCCGCGTCCGAGCGCGCGATAGTCTGACTCAAAAGGCCCTTCTCGAGGACTCCCTGCTCGAGCTGTCACATCTTCTTTTCCGCCCGGCTGACCATCGTCATCGCTGGCCAGTGCATGGAAGTGAGTGTTTCCGGCGCCTATGTGTCGCACACGAGTGAGGCTGTTTTGCCTCTCTTACTCACACAATGCAATAGAGACATGTTTCTGGACGGGTCCCCTTCCGACTTTGACTACTGCTCCGGTTTCCTAGAAGCTTCCCTATGTTGTGTGATCCATGTCTCAGGATGGGCAATCTTTTCTTGTCAAGAGTGCCAACTCCGTTGCCAGATCTATACGTTGGCGCACGGCTACCCAAGCAAACCCCGGTCACCACCGCCAATGTCAAACACAAGGAATTCCGTCTCAAGATTCACCGCTTCCAGCTGGAGGTGAGAGATATCTGTCACAACACCTCGAGAGGGCTTGCCGGATCGAAGATGACCTGTTACTTGATAATGGGCTCCCATCTCAGCCTCTGTGGAGTTTAAAGTCGCTCGAGGCAACAAGAGGCGCAACATGTATGAGATCTCCTTTCTGACCTGGAATCAAAACCGGGTTGTCCTTTTCCGGGAAAGATATGGAAGAGGAATCACCCTCCGAGCTTGTATCACCATGGCTCTCCGGATCTGCAGCTTTCTGCAGGTTCCACCATTGCGATCGATGCCGTTCCAGCACTAATTGTACAACCCGACAGATCATGGACAACGTTGCGCCAGTCCGGTTTTGACGGTGCTGGACCCCTTCTTCTACTACTTCCGTTAACAGTTCCCAGCTCCTGTGGCTGTGTTTGTGTCATCAATCAGGCTGTGTGCAACTGTCTCATCCCACAAGCTAGCAAGGTCTCCACAGTCTCAGCCTCCAATTCCTGCTCAGTGTCTGTCCTTAAATGATACGGCCACGTCCAGCAGTACCAAAGCACATGGCGGCGGCTAGTGCGCGATCAGATCTGTTCCCGCCCCCCCAGCGATCCTCGTGGGCGTACACGTTTTCTCATCCACCTCCTTCTCAGAATAGTCCGGCCGATAAGCCAAAAGGAGGCGACACGAGTATTTGCCCGACAACTTTCCCATTGACACGACTATATGTTGCCCTCACAATTCAGTTCCGACTCGAAGAAAAAAAAGAAAGTATATGTCTCTCACAGCCAGCTTCAGCTTTCATCACACCCCCCACCACCACGAGGATGCTCATTTAATCTTGATCAACATTCTCATATTGCGCCACGCCTTTATAACTCCACGGATGTCCACGTGCTCGCATACCCAAATATGACCAGTCATTCTGGGGGGAGTTGCCGGAGACACGAGAATAATCATGATTTCGGCGGGCCATTGGTCTCGGCCGTGGGAGAGACATGGATGTGTGGCCCTTGATTTGCGCACTCGGAATCTTGCCAAAAACACAATCTGCATGATCACTATGACTCGCCCACTAGCACGCCCCGTCACTCTGACATCCAGATCTGGGTTGCGGAACGGACATTATTGGACAGTTGAGAAACGACTGTGCATAGCTTTCCCTCTCGGCAGCATTCCATCCACGCCTCTGTCACCGCTACTCCCAGCCTCACTTGCCCAAAGCACAGAGATAAGCGAGGAATGTGAATGGATAGATCTTGTGCCTCCCCCAGCTACTTGCGTTCCATTGACTCAGAGGTGAGTCCCGTGTCTCACCCCTTTCCCCCAATGATCGGAAATGCCAGTCCCCAAGGGTAAGAAAGCCATGGCCAAAAAACCAAAAGAAAGACACGGAGGTTAAAAGGGGGCCTTCCGTAGGTCATAACGTACAACATGGCTGAAATGTCTTGGCTCCTTCCTCACCGCCAAAATAAAGGCAGCCCATCCTAGTCTTTCAACTCCTTGATCTGATCACGTACTGAGTCTACAGGTCAATAGTGCAATGTGAAGAGTCATGGCCTTCCAAGCTGCTGCCCAACAGCGCGCATGGATTTCGTAAACAATTGTCAAAGATGATACTAGGCCGCCCTTTCGAGAAGAGTGTTGGCCTATTCCACGTATGATGGTGTTGTATTCGCTTGTCTTGAAGACGGAAATGGCTGGGAAACATCAGAGGAGTTTTTCACCCAACGAGGTCGCACCTGCTTGGATCACAGTACGGAGGTATTTCCCATGTAAATTTATAATGAATCAGAGGTCCCTGAGGGTGAAAGTTTAGGACATGTAAAAAGTTTAAAAAAAAAATAAAAAATGGTGCCATTAATGAAAATGATTCCACAGCGCCTGTTGCCCAACGCTTGATCTGCCAACATAGATTGATGCCAATTTAAGATGTGTTATGAGTAATTATGATATCACCTCTTCCCATTCTCCGTATTCCCCTCTTCGAATTCATTCTTGCGTTTCAAAGTCGGGCTTCCGTCTCCGTTGTGGTGTCCGTTGCTCCGGCCGTTGCTGAGGCCATTAGCCTGCCGGCGGCCTGCCTCATCGCCACACCCACCACGGAAGTTGCCCAGCAGTTGAGGAAGCCCAGGGATACCGAGCCCTGCGAAATTGCGACCGGCGCTCTCTCGCTCTCCAACCGCGATCACGGCACCGATGAGGTCGTGGTTCACCTTCTCGTTGACAACACTGTCATGCTTGTAATCGGGGTGTGAATCAATAAAGTTGCGGATCCAGCGAGACGCCGTGTCCAATTCACCACTCGCGCGCTTGCTAATGAGCTCGAGGTAGGTAGATAGCTCGCATCTGGTCTGCACATCCACATTAACGCTGTCGAGGTAACTTTCCACAATCGGGATCAGTCCAGGAAAGTCGGTATCGGATGATCCATTAATGATCTCGTTAATGGTCATCTCCGCATACTCTTCCTCGACCGGTCCTGGGCTTGCAGGTCTGCTGGCCATGGCAGACCCAGGGCGACTGCCATCTGGCACCGCCGTGTTGGCGCGTGAAGGCCTAACTGGGAACGGGCTCTTGCGGAAATAGAATTTGGTCTTGAGGGCAGCATCCACCTCGTGTGCTCGTTCCATGTTCTCGTCGACCTTCTTGATTGGGATGTAGAAGTTGAGGTCAAACGAGAGGATAGCTCGCGTAACCAATACCATGAAGACCGAGAAGGCCGCATTCTCAAAGTCCGTAATCTGAATCTCCATCGGCCTGAATTCCACTCTCCAGCCGATATCGCTGCCCGCAGGGGGCGGCTTAAAACGCATATGCTGCCAGTTTGTAGATTGAATATTCTCAAAATGGTCCGTCTTGGTCATGTCCAGCTCCTGGAGATCTTCCTCGAAGATGACGATGGGGTCTCGAATGAAAAGGTGAGCAAAGTGAGTGGCCAGGCGGTCATCCATTCCACCCTCGGTGAGCTTGTCTTTGATTTCCGGGTCGATCACAAGATCTGGGTCAAGATACTCCTTCCGTAGCCGGGGATCATTTGAGATGTATGTTGAGTTTGACGCATATCGAGATTTTGGAATACGCCATCTGTTATGCTTCAAGGGCTATTCAAACAATCAGTTTACAACAGGCTCGGTCATGCTAGGAGGACAATCATACCTTTTCTCCAAGCTCCTCTGGAGTACGGCAGTCGACTGCACGGCTGATCTGGTTCCACCGCACATCAGTGTTTGCGAGAAATCCTTTATAGACAGGAGTTGCAGCAGTCAGAGCGAGCATGATAGGGCCCAGCGGGCTCAGCTGATCATACAACTGTCTGCCTTCAGTAATACTCTTAGCCTGGAACGTGATTTGAAGGCAGCAACTCCCCATGCCAAATGCCATTGCATCCATGTGAATGTACTCATCTGGAGCAGCTCCATTCCTCACGTCATTGTCCTCGGGCCATTGGTGTAAATCATAGTTCACGGTAGGATCTTTCCATGGTTTGGGCGTATTGACATCATGGAATATCGGGACGTTGACCTGAACCTTGCGCCCACGTCGAGACCTGATATTAGCAGCCAATGTCGGAAATCTGATATGAGGATTCGCAATCTCGTCGGGAACAAACTGCGAACGGAGCTTCGGGCCAGAAGTAGGGTAGTATGGGAAAGTGAACTGCCCGGGACTACCAATTCGTGGGAAAGTTGTGAGCGTGATAGGATACTCAGTTGATAGCATGTGCTCCTTCGCGATTTTCCTGCGGAGCTTCATATCAGGCTCAACATCAAGGAGCTCCTTGAATCCAATGCCCCAGGGCTTTCCTGGTGTCGCCTCCAACATGAATCGTCCAAATTCAGGATGAAACACAGGAATTGGCTTGTCACTGCACTCCCGAGTTAACTCCGGAATAACGCTCGACTGTACCACGGTGACCACTTACGTCTTTCCTTTTGTAGCATCATCAATGGTGTCATCCGTGCAACCTCCGGCCTCCGCAAGCTCTTGGTCAGATGCCAAAGCAGTCAGAATTTCAGCTTGGCGGAGAGAAAGGAGGACCTTGTCGTCATCTTTGTCGTAGGTGACAACGAGATATTCAACCTTGAAAATGTCAGCCAGTTACTCTTGATATATAGAGGCATCATATATCAAACCTCATCTCCCCACAACAGAGCATCACGCTCCTTGCCTTTGGCTTTATTCCAGATTTCAAGGAGTTGCTGGAAACAAAAGTCAGATCAGTACCATTCCTTGCCGAGATCGTCGTTGCCAGAGTTTGAGATAAAACGAACCTTGATACCCCATTCCCTAACTTGGTGCGCTCGCTTCTCAGCCTCAGGCCATTCGAGCGGCGTTCCAAGAGCTCTAAGATACCAGTTAGCCCAGACACATTCATCACGTTGGTGAGAGATGGTCAAGCGCTCAGCCCTCCTAAGTTTCCAAAGACGTACAATAAGCCCATTTCCGCGATGCAACGACAATCTCCTCTGCAAACTGTCAAGTAGAGCAGTCAAAGTAGTGAATCGATCTCTTCGGAGAAACGCTGGAAGCCCGCGCTGGCTATATATATATAATATACAGCCGTGCGGCGGAGTGGCAAAGTGATGACGGCTCGAGGTTCCGTATCCAAGTAGGATCATCCAGTCTCACAATACCAGCAAGGTATCTGTGTAAAACTGTCGCCCACCTCAGCGAATATACGAGACGGCAAGGCTCAAGCCCAGCGAGCTGCAATACCCAGAGGTGAAGAGTTTGCGTGTGGCTTGATGATATTTCCCATCCAGTGGCCCCACGCACGAGGGGGAAGGGAGACAGTCGAGACAATACCAGCCAGTACGTAGTGCGCGCGGTCTGCGGGGACAAAGTCAATTAAGAGCCTTGCGGAACAGAGATGAAGCAAGCGCTACCGACTAGGCTATTCGGTTTATCGATAGTCGATCGGGGTATCCTGACACGTCCAGGCAGGCTTACACGCAAAAGTGGTGGTTTTTTTTCTCTGCCTTGGCCAGACTCTCCGCGAACAAGGCTAGGCCTTGTATTCCCTCAGAAGTCTCGCTCGGGTCCTCTTTTAATGTCGCACCGAGAGATGGATTTTCCCTGATAACAAAACAAAACTAGGCATTACTAGCAGGTAGTGGAGCCCCGCCAGCACGATCAAATGCCATCGAACTCACTTGCACTTTCTTGGTTTGGACGTATGGGTTGACTCGCGAGTGCTTAGAAATCGGCCGCGGGTCAGCCGAGTCTGGGAACCCGCACTGACGGCTCTGGGCAGCGGATTGCATCATCGGCGAGCCGCTGTATTGGCTCCTTCTCTCATGGTACCTGTCGGGATGATCCGTTTGATGCGGCTGCTGGCCAGCCCCAAATTAGACAGAATTAGCATTGGCTCGATACCTTACAAGACTAGCATGTAGCAGCAGTCTGGGGATAGTATGAGGCAGTCAGACGACCTTGCTTGGACGACTGGTTACCTGGCGTGGGTATGGACGGGGCAGACGAGGGACGCTACCGGCCGTGGGACGGACAGTAGCCGTCTTCAGCGGCAAGAGGATAACCTAATGGGCATAGGATAGCCGCCCGGCAGGATTGCGAAGAGGCAAGGCAATTGACAACCGACGTTGCGATTCATGGCAATGCTGCCGCCAATGTGCCCAGAACCCGCTCCACGCATTCTTTCAATTCTATCATGTGACTGGCTGGTTGAGAGGCAGGCGTTGCCGTCTCTGAGCTCGCTCCTGCCAACATTACATGTACCCATGTACCGATACTGACTCCGGCATCTCAGCTCTTACCTCAGGTGCTATTGAATTGATATCACACTCGCTCTGCGCATAGGACCAGCATCGGGCATGAGCTAAGCACCGATGAACCGGCATTCGTGACCCAGTTCCTCGCTGGGACTTGGCCGACAGTCGCATTTTTGCCGGTATCAACACAAAAGCCGCAAATCGGCCAGGTATTTGTCAGCGATAGTAGGCTGTCTTCAACATGGAAGGTAATTAATCAATGGCCACTTGTCGTATTTGTGATACGGTTAGTCACGCATAAGGACGGTGTCCTCTTCTTATGCATCCCATCACAGAGCCAGGGTCGACCTCCCAATTTCCTCACTTGGCAACTCGCCGTCTCATATGTGGCTCTGCATGGCCCATGATGAGGAGAATGGGCAGGTAAGGCGAATAATCACGCTGGACCGTTAATACCGCGGGCTTTATTATCCCAACTGGCCATGACACCTCTTCGCCACAGCTCCGAGTCGAATTGTGATACAGATAGATGGCATACCAACTCCTCAGACCCTGCCATTCAAGCTTGCGGGATCCCAATAGCTGCCGTGTCCGCCGCTTAAGCGAATGCCAAGACCATCATCTGGCTGTTAGAATTGCGAGGTTGAGCTGAGCCTCTCAGCAAGCCTCGCCAGGTTCAAAAACTGTTCGATTGAGAAGAGCCCTGTTCAAGATATTTATAACAGCTATTTCCCCCGTTGATCCCATGCTATAACATTCCATATTGCGAGAAGAGGAGATCTTGTCTGATGGTCCCCCCAAAACTCGCTTGACACCAATATCATCATCGTAAGAGTAGAACGCCTTCTCAAACGCCCACAACATTATCCAGCATTGCTGTGTCCCCCCCCAATCCCCTTCTTGCCAACTCCCGGCCGGCCCAGGTGGTCTCATCGCGTCTCGGAATAATCGTTCAGTGCCACGCATACCGCGCCACGGTGGTGCCCGTTATACTGGCGGATAATGCTCTGGCTGGCCACCTCCCATAACCGCGCGTAGTGGTCGGAGCAGGCAGTGACCAGATAGGCCGAGTCTGCGCTAAAGGCACAGTCCCATACCCAACGCTGGTGCCCTTGAAGTGTCGCTTCAAGAGGGTATGGCTTCGGCTCGCCCTCCACGCGAGGCTCCGTGTCGGTGACCTCCCAGATCTTGGCGGTGTGATCGGCGCTGCAGGTCGCCAGCTTCTTGACGTCGGGGGAGAGTAGGATCCGAGTGATGCATTCCTTGTGGGCGTTGAACTGGGTGACCGGCAAGAGCTGGGTGCGGTCATAAGTCTGCACCAGCTGCCAGACAAACACGTTGCCCTGCTGGGTGTTAGCCGTGGGCGGAACGCCTCCATCACGTCACACAAGAGGCGGGCAGGGCGCATACCAGGTTGTTTGCCGCGCAGAGGAGGGACCCGTCGCTGGCAACCGTCACACTCGACACGGACACATCTTCCTCGGGGATGAGTTCATGTGAGCAGTTGTTCTCGGCCAGATCCCATACCCGCACGCTGCCCGACCTGTCACAGCTAATGATTTCACCTTGGTTAGGGTGTATCACGACGTCATTTGCCGGGCATCCGTGGTTATAGCTTCGTTGAATTGTTCCCGATCGTGTTTCCCAGATCTTGACCGTCCCATCTTCGGAGCTCGTCACCATCCATTTCCCCTCGCAGTGAAAGGCGACGCCGGTGATGTTTCCCGTGTGGCCCTCGAAGGTCAGAAGCGGATTGGGATTCGTCGATTTGATGTCGTAGAGTTTGACGGTGTGGTGGCCCGCTGCGGCGAGAAATCTTTTGTCTGGCGAAATACACAATCGGTTGACCTGGGAATCAGGATGCTGGATCGTGCGCGAGCAGATTCCTGATAGCGCCTCCCAGAAACTAGACACAGGCGGGCGTCCGTCGATCAGTAACAGAGCTTGCGAGAAGCAAAAGGAGAGACAAACCGAATTGTGTGGTCGTAACCCGCTATTGCATTGCTCAGTTAGCTCCCATTAGATGACACTGCAACAGCAGATGGCCGCGCACGCAAGGACGCAAGCATAGATGGACAAGTGGACGGTAGATGGTAGATGAATATGTGGTTGTTTGGCTGGTTCTCGAGGCTGCCTTGCTCCGCTCTGCTCCGCTCACTCACCTGTGCAAAGAATAACCGACATCGCAAATGATGGATCTAGATTACCGTGGCATTGTAATGGGAAGGAAAAAAGAACCACAGCACCCCAATGTGAGTGCGTTGAGCAAGGTGATTAGATACTGACATACCGGCGCGGCGCGTGACGGCGGAGAGCCAAAACCAGGCCCCTCTTTACGTGCATGTCTCCGGGATAAGTGCATCAGGCAACAGCACCATCTAGTGCGTGAGACTACCACATCACAAGGCAACAATGGCAAAAACGGTAAAACTCCTTCTCAATTATTGGAATTGCTACCTTGCTATAATTATCTTTCCTTTGATTGGTCCCATGAAAGCACCCGTATCCGGATGCTCGGTTTAATCATTTCGGATACGGCATGGGTTGCCTCCGATATGTATCATTCATCTGGATAACAGTCAATACTCGCTTAACCAACAGTAACTCGCTCTAAACTACCTTATTTTGCTCTCTTATTCCCCTTAATCGTACCATAGTGCTCTGAAATTACGGCTTAAGATGCTAAGAAGAGGTTCCACAGCCTATGGAAGAGAGGCGCCGCCCGCCCAAGAAATCGCACCTCTCCCGGCAGTGGGCAAGAAACAGACAACATTCATAACCAACATATCTTTGATATACTGTTTCATCTGAAGCAATATTCTAGATACATCCGGAGTCCTTGTGACGTGACATGTCAATTCCTACAACAAGACCTCGTATACTGACTTGGATATTGCCTCTCTCTCAAATACACTCTTACAACATAATCAACGGCCAAGGGCAAAAGCCCCAAGACCTTACAATGAGCATAAATACACATGAAGCGATCAAAAAACCGCCAACAATTCTTCCTCGCCGCAACATACATTCCATGCCGAGTATCGCAAAGGAGCGGAAGATCGTCACCAGGCCATGGTTGGAGATTTCCCGGGGTTGAATCCCATGTTCCTGTCAGGCTGTCCCGTTTCATGAGGACCCCCCAGCATTGGTACTATTGGCTGGCATCATCCTCACCATAGTGTTCTGGCAATAACCGCATATAGACTCCCTGTTCCGGTGTCAGTCCATCTGTAGACTCTGTGGATCATAGGTTTCAAGCATAGAAGTTACTCACTGGCGAAGGTCCTTGAAACTGCACATGGTGCAGGTGCTGGGGACCAGACCCTCGCTGATGCCTGCTGAAATGTGCGACGAGGGCATTGTTTCACGAGGAGCTCGAGTGATGTGAGGAGAGAATATTTCAGTATGGAAAAAGTTTAGTAGCAATTTGGAATGTTTTCCTCTGAGTTCGCAGATGTTGTCGCGCTGAGTTCTTGCGATCCGGATTCGAAACTAGTGGGAGACAACATACTTTTTATACTTGTTTTCACCATACATATCAACCAAGAGAGCATGACATGTCTTAAACCTGGGCTAGAAAGGGTCAACAGGAATCATTTCTCATATTGGAAGCCGGTCAAGATCTAAAGTCCCAGCTCACCACCCTCGATGAGCGTCTGGAGATCCCATGATAAGACATTGGGTGCAGAGATGCAACCAACATACATATCATTGTAGTTGCCCGTGAATCTCGGATACATCAGGCAACTTCTCTACCCGGGGATAAGACGTCCAATTCTCGGCCATGTGGCCGGGCTGGACTGCAAAATCCGCCGTTGACTCGATGACATGTTTCGGCATGTCCTGATCAGGTTTTGCTGACTCGAAGAGGTGCCAACTCCCCTTCGCCCGTGATTCATCAATTCGTCTATCCAACGCCACCGATTTCCAAAGCAGGACTGCCTAGCTGCATCTGCACATACACGCATGGATACAACCCCCAGTCTGCTTCAAGTGTGAGAGAGGCGCACCCCCCCCCCCGAACCTCTGCGAGGCAACTCAGCCGAAGAGCGTCGATACAACGTGTCATAGCGCCGTTCCCGCAGCCTTCTGACGACAACTGAACCTAATAGCCGACATCCCATTGTCTACTGATTGATCCACTCTAAGCTGCAGGCCCAGGCGGATGCCTTGCAGCTTGCTCCTGCGACTACCCGGCAGGCTTAATTCTCATTCGCTGCGGCAACCAGACTCGGTCAAGATGTGAGAGCCCAATGCACACTCGCCGAACTTCATCATGTGCCATTCCTTACCTAGATTAGAAACGGGGCAGACCGCGAGTGGGTGTGGAGCGAGTACTCGGCAACCTCTTCTATTGTCTATCTGTTTCTGACCCAACATAAGGGCATACCAACCTCGTCATAACTCATTTGTCATCCTATTATATCAGTATCATCTATTCAACTCTAGCTCTATGGCTATTCCGTTTGCGTCATTATCCTCTGCAGGGTGCTTTGCACAGTCCAATCCTGAGTCCTTACCACCCCTCCTTCTGACACGCTCTTCTGCAACCACTATTGGCTCTCTCCGTCCCGATGCAATGGTACCATGTATGCAGTATCCCGCACCATTAACCCGCCTAACCTGTCTCAGCTCCTTCTCAGCCGCTTCTTCATATTCCTCAATTTAGCCTTTTCTCTCTTTCAAAGTCTCTGTTCTTTTTGTTGAGGGCACAAACAAATATACGTGGAAGGTGATGAACTCCTTAAAACACCCCTAGTTATTCTCCTACTCAAATACTACCCTTCGTCAATTATGTGTTCATGCAGCCCCTGTTTCAGTCCCGGTCCGGCCCTCTGCAGGTTCTCTACTAGATGAAGTCCACTCCGGTGCATACTGACATGCTCCATCTGACCCCCCCATGTAGCCCGGTCAAAGCATGTTCATTCTTGGCTATTGATAAATATTTTGACCGGTTTATCTTACCCGCCGAAGATTGCCTCCTTCGAAGAAATAGGCCAATGACCTACTCTCAACACCATACCATTCCGTGTATGATGGTGGCGAGGCAAAAGGGCCGAGTCCACGTTTCAGTGCCAGTGATACGACACTTGCCTAACCCCCAACCAACTCTCAGGATTCCGCTGAACCAAGATTTCCAAACCTAATGACTAGCTGCATATTTCAAAGATGAACATCAGGCCACGTGAGGTCGGCCAGCCTTCCCAATTCCCTCGACAATAAACCCATCACACAACCTCATTGTCACGTTATCACAGTTCATATCATCGAGGACTTTGTCAGAGAAACTCTTCCATAAGAACCTAACTGGATAAAATGCCCGGCAATTTCAAAACCACCGAATAATATTGCCCGAGTACACGGGTTAAAAGTCGTAATAGTCGTCCAATCTAGCCACTGGAATATCATAACCCAAACAAAAGGAGCGAATTTCTGCACAACGGAACATTCCAAAAACTACAGGCCCTAGAAAATCCGTTTGGCTCTTCTCAGCTAGTCCGACGAAATGCAACCCCTCACCCCGCACTTCTCACCCCCGATCTGATTGCTACACAACAAAATTCAAGCCAGTCTTCCCCATACTCCAAATCGCCAAGCCTCATAGGCCTTAACAGGTAAAGTTGAGAACAAATCAAGGATTTCATAGCGCTGGGGCCGTTACAATCAGTGCAGACATGACCGCAATGCCACCCAATGCAACATATCCTACTACTTCAGCCGCTCGCCGGAGGCGTTTTGGCGAGTGTGCTGCTTCTTGAGCCTTCAAGGCTGCTCTGAAATCATCAGTAAGCTCTTTCACTGTAGTCTGAGATATCTGAGCTGCCTTCCTCTTCAGAGGGTTTGGAGACTCAGGATTCTTGTCACCAACTACTTCTTCGTCTTGTTTCTCAACAGGCTCTGTCTGAGATTGCTCGACCTTCTTGCTGATCTCGAAAGTATAAGCAGACGTGTCATCGAGCACACAAGGATCGCTCGACACTGGTGGTTCATCAGATGTGAGTGGAGTGTTCAGGAAATTGCGTCCTGATACTTCCAGAGGTGAAAACTGCTCCCAAGTCTCTTGAGAGCACTCATTAACCAACATAGATGACAGGCTCAAAGCCTCTTTTTCTCCCGGAGCCCTTGATGCCGTGGGTAGGGTAGGAGCATCCATTGGTGTCTGCTCATGTTGGGGGCCCAGTTCAGCGGCAAATCTCTTCTTATTCTCCTCTCGAGCATTGAAGAAATCAGCTTTTTCGGAGTTTTGTCCGAAGAGTCCAATGACTTGATCTCTGCTGCCCTGGGATACAAGGTCTGGAGGAGCAGAGGGCTGTTGCGAGGAAACGAAACTGAGACTCTCATCTTGCGAATATCCAATTTTGTCATGTGTTTGCTCTTGTGTCAACATCAAGTTTAAGGGAACTGTCGTGAGCCTATCAACTTCATGCACGCTCCTCAACGCATTTGGGGGAAGCTCTTCCGAATCTCGGGGCGAGATTTCAGGCAACGGCATGCTATCCATCAACATCACGGGAACCGTGATTGTTGGGTCAGATATTGTTGTGTTATCGTCTGCTATCAGCTTGTTAGCCACAGTTCTTTGATAAATTATGGTTAGTAGTTCTGAACGCCAAAACTTACTTGGAAGTGTAGTTTCACCGTGCTCTTCCAACCCATCGCCATCTTCGGAAGTGAGCTCCTCATCACTGAAGAAGGCGCCTTGTTCCGGCGTATGTGTGTTGTATTCTTCATTTCCATCAGTCCTCGGAGATTCGATTTCGGATGAATAGCTATCGGATTCAGACTCGTAGGGAAACTCTTCATCTATTTCCGAACTGTGGGATTCGGCGTCCCAGGCCATATATTCTTCACCATCAGGGTTATTTTCGGTACTGAATGATGTCGTGGCAGGTATCTCGGACGGTGTCGGGTCCGAAATCTCGTAGATTTCTGATGCGTTTGAGGTCAGATCGATCGGAAGGAGAACTGATTCTCCATTTTTGTAGTGTTCGACATCGACGACGGGTGTAAGATCGAGGGTGCTGAGTGGTGGCAGCTGAGGTGCTGGTCGGATTTGGTTCTCTCTCAGAACTTTCTGGGCGTATCCGGTACCAATCTCACCTTCGCTGCCACTTATCTCCTCGACATCGGTATCATCGGGTACTCGAAATACGGTCGGCAGATTATTCCGTCTATAAAAAACATTAGCCATGGGAAGGTGCCGCGGATAAAATGGCAAAGAGACATACTCATCGGTTCCAAACGCAATAGTGGCTTCAACTTCAAAGGGGCGGAACTTTTCGGCTCCCCTGTCGATGTTAACCCCAAATGTTATAACATCTCCGGTCAGAAGCCGCTTGGACTCTTGATCTCGAAGTCGCAGCGAATTCACAAAAGTCCCATGAAGGGAACCGGCGTCCTTGATTGATACCTCCTAATTCTTGCCGTTAGCATAATAAAAAAAGTGTGAGTTTTTGACAGATGCTTGACCAACCTGTTTGTCGCTATCGAGCTTGATTGTTGCGTGATCTCGAGACATGACCGGGCAATCAAAAAGGAAGTTGTTGGAGGCGGCCTCCAGCCCTCGTCTTCGACTGCTCTGTCGTCCGATGGGCGTTGTCGCTTGGTCTCCGGAGAGCGTAAGGCTGCGGTAAGGGAAGTGAGGGTCGTGGGTGTCGTTGGTGACGGTAAGCATCACTAACGCTATGGATCTTGTAAGCAGCAGCTCCCTGGGTTAGAATAAACACAACGTACCTTGATCCCGGAACTTGGGAGGTTCCATGATGCGATGAAATGGAGTCTGGATATACCTATGGAGAGTACAATGATCCAGCATCGAAGATGAAGAGGGGAACAATCAACAGCACGAGCTGTGGCACAGAACGAAACAGCTGAAGGGCTGCTGAGACGAGGCAAAGGTCAAGGTGGGGCAGCTTGCTGGGGGTTCCTGCCAGAACAAGTAGAGGGAGCTACGGGATGATAAGGAGCCCCTCACTTAGTGGACTTATCAGTGGGGGTGGGCGGCTGCCTGCCTGTGGTGTTGCCTAGCGTCTTGCCTTCCGTCTTGCCTTCCGAGATGGCTCTTGGGATGCAGGAAAAAAGGATCAATGCCGTGGCAGGAACAGGGTGGTTATCATAAATTTTTGAAAGATGAAAAACCCGTATTCCTGAGCATGGCTACCTGGAGCCTTGCAGTGTGAAAATTTAAATGTTGTGGTAGGTTGGCACCTAGCAAGTAGCGACGATTCAAAGTTTAGCAGGTACCTGCTAACAGGGTAGCCAAAGTGGTTCACGACATCAATTGGGTACTTGCATGTCACGAGAGCATGGCTTTTGGCCGAAGGTGCACAACAGATGCACCAGTCCGGACTCATTTCAGGCTCTGGCTTTAGGCATCGTTCCCGCTCCTTCGGTGACTGGATGGTTAAGCCCGTGCACCAGTGACAAGCTGATTCAAATAATATTAGGTACTCTCGTGGCAGGAATAGTGAGTGGGTGACTCAACACGTGGACGAAGCCCGGTCAGGGGCCCTTACCGTAATCAAATCTCGCGCAATGCGTTGTTGGAAGTTAAGTACCTTAGACTAGCACACTGGCTTTGGGGATAATACGGAACCGAAGGCATCTGCCCAACCAAATGCACTTGCGTCAGCCCGATGGTGCCGAAATGGCCTTGTGACCACACGGAAGGTGACGCGATGAGCACAACCCCTCTTTCAGACGACCGTCTTCGGGAGTACAGGCGCCGCAGTAATGGCGCTTCTGCTGACTGAGAGAAATGAATAAAACTCGCATGTTCTTCACATCGCACACCACAAACAGGACTTCCGATCGGAAAGCGAGCATGTTGGATTGAGACCCCTCCCCCGTAAATCTAATCTACCATGCACGGGCAAGACGCGTTAAGTGCTGTCCCGCTCACGAAACTCAAACCGATGACGCTATGTGACCAGGGGTCCGTAAGGTATCCCAGCTCAAGTGGGCCAGTTCTGGGGAAGGCCCCTTGGCGCTATCGGCAACTTTGCTATGTCGAGAGAAGTCTTATTTGTCTTGTTTACTTGCTCTAGCTCTTCATTGCGACAGATTTTTGTTGCGAGATAGTTTCATTTTGGGGATTATCCCTAGACACAAATTTGAATCTCAATGTATAAGACTCTGCTGATAGGTATCCAGCACCGTTGAAGCTTGCTACTGGTCAACTCGGTAGCGTCTAAAGATATGATACCGAAAAGGACACTTGCCAACACTGTTATGAATATAGACACGACAAGAAAAACTCAATAAAAACCTAGTAAATACACACAAAAACAACTGCACCTGCCTAGCCTAAAGTGAGAACTATCTACCATTGAGACGTCTCGAACCCAGTATCGGATAGACAGAACTCTAGGGTAGGAATACTGCAGCCAGTGTGGGTGTGGCTTGACCCCTTCTCACACAAGGTCATAACCGACACGAGGAAAAGGGCTAGAGGAAAGGGAAAATGAGGGATACAAAAGAGCACAGAATCCCAAGACGCACAGATTCACTGTTGATCCCTCACGTAGCGCCGCCCCAGACGAGCCTCCCAAGGAACACAGAAACCCGACTATGATGACATTTGTCCGGGTCACTTATGGAAGCAAGCGAGGGCTTGCCCCATCAGCGCCCCAGATGAAGACGTCACGACTGGGCACGCACTTTATACGGTCGAGGCGACCTGCGCCACTGCCGTAAGCCCACAAAAACCTGTCCCTTCTGACTCCATACTTGCTCTTTTTTAAATGTTGCTCCTGCGTAAACCACGAAGTTTTCTGCTCGCAGCTCCCTCCTTATCTACGGCAACCGGTTATTATCCCTCGCCCCCCCACGCCGTCGCCTTGACAGCCCATCAAACGCCACTCCCACTCTCCCAGATTCTTGTCCAAGGTTCCCCCCAATGGAGCTGAACCATTCATTCACCCATAACACCTATCTGCTACCATACCCGACAACGTAGCATCTAAGCGAAAAGCTCTGCCTTGACAACTTTATCGCCTGAAAGAGATTACGCACGAAACACGTGCTGCAGCTGTCGCCTAACGTTCGCCTTACAAATTGCGCTTCTCAGCCTCGTTTCTACCTGAATCCGATTCTGCATTGGTCAGCCCAATTAGCTGAGACAGCGCCACCAAGCAAGCCCTCAGGCGCTGACGCTGATTCCTCTGACCCGACGTCGCTCATCACAACCCAGCGTCATTTAAAAAAACCTAGTCAACGCATTTAGAGCATACTACAACTTCAAATCCCATTCAACCTCATTATGAGTTTAGCACGCGTCAAAGCCCTCAAGGGCGAGAAGACCGTCTCCCGAAAGGCGCGGAAATCCGGCCGCGCCTCTGGCACAGCTTCTCCCGGAGGCTCTGACATTCTCCAGAAGGTCTTCCAGCACGATGACACCTCCTACCGCTCCGGGTCCGAGGCCACACCCCCAGAGACCCCTCCCGTGACCTACGACAGCGACTCGGACGGTGGATCTCAGCTGCTTGCGCTCGATGAACTCGACCTGACTCCCTTTGACCCGAAGAAGCTTGTTTCGGAGCTGCAGGATCGCAAGAACAACCAGACCGACACGAGAGAGCTTCTTCTACATCACTACGTCAAGACCCTGCGGAATCAATACTCTGCCGAATTTGATAATTTTGATGGTCAGGTCGACGAGCTGTTTGGGGTGTTTCTAAGAGGGGCAAATCGCGGGGCGACACCCAAGGAGAGATCCCTGAGTCTTCAGTCCTATTTGTTAACAGCGACAATCGCCGACGTGGACCGGGTCGACTCCACACGGAACATCCTGAAGCAGATCCTGTCCGACGACGACGACGAGCAATGCCAAATTCACGCTCTATACGCTCTTTGCCTGACAGTGGTGTTCTACGCCGCTAGCAAGGACGAAGTATTCGACTTCTTGGATTTCCTTGTGGAGATTGTCCAGAGCAACGGAGATTCGATCAACGCCCTGGACAAGGATGGTGTCATGGTCGCCACCTTCGAGTGCTGGGCCTTTGCGGCGACGCATGTAGACATCTGGCAGCATGCCGACTATGCCATGGACACATTTGTCGAGAAGCTCGACAGCACAGACGTCGAAACACAGACGATTGCAAGCGAGTGCATTGCCTTCATATTCGAGGCATCGCGCGCCCACGAACAAGAGGAAGGCGAACCGTTCCAGCTACCCTATGATCCCCAGCGGATAGCCGGCCGGATCAACGGCCTGACGAAGGTCTCGGTCAAGTCAAGATCGCGCAAAGACCGCCGGGATCTTCGCGAGAGTCTACGCAGTGTAGGCACTTCGCTAGACAGAGGGGTAGGGCCGTACTACTCCACTGCCACCAATGTCGAGGATGGCAAGGAGCTGGGCTACCGATTCAAGCTGCGCAAGCGTGATGCCATCGGCCACCAGTACCATGCTCCCGTCGAGTCATGGCATTTTTATCATCGCATCCACTTCCTACGCAACGTCTTCAAGGGCGGCCTTGAGCGTCATATGGAGAATGACAACCCTATAGTGATCGACTGTTTGGATGGGCTGGACTGGTCCGCCGTGCCAAGGAGTAGCTAACATCATCGATAATAAAGAGTGTTAAAGAGTAGGAATAGGGACTTCTTTCATTAATTGGTTTGCGAGCATCCTTCTTATGCATGTACCGAGGCAATATATCGATTTCGTTGGTTTCAAGCGTTTGCTGTTGTCGTGTTGGCCTGCGGATGTCATGCAGAACTTGTGATTATTTTTTACCTGTCCGTGACCAGGGATTTTCTAAACATTTCAATTGGTTTCGTTCGGAATACTGTGGCAGCATTGAAATAGAATCTTAGTCTCGTGCGTAGCGTATAGCGGCGCCCTATTGTCCTTTGGTATGAATCTCTATAGAACCTGAGATGTTGGCATCAATGGACTTGCAACACTCAATTCACTCGATTCTTAGTAGGCCAAAGCGTCTGACAAACTCAGTAGGTTTGTGCCAATTGATATTACTCATAGGACTAATCAATAAAGATACTACATTTGATGATTCTGGAATGACCCAAAAGTCAAGGAGGCTTCGGAGAAGGCGAAAACAATCGACTTTGGTCTCACTTTTGGTGTTAGGTTGAGGGATTGATCCAGTGATGCATGGCCTGGATTAAGTAGTCTTTTAAAAAGCAAAGCCTTCCTTGGAACCCCATTTGAGTCGAGTGAAGAGGATACAGACTCCGCCTAGAATTGTTGTAATGCCCGAGAACAGGAAGAGGGCCGTGAAGCCAGGCGGCTTGCCGCTTGCTTCGATTGGACCAGGTCCTAAAGAGACTCTCCGCAAGTGTGTCGAGATAGGGGTGCTAATAAACGTGGTAATTGATAAAACCGCCATCATGAAGCCGATACGGAGGCCAAGGTAACCCATGTCGGGAGTTATCTGTGCCACACATGTGGAACTTAGAGGCATGATGCCCCCAGAAAATAAGCCAAAGAGTATGGAGAAAGCAATCATGGTGGGAAACGTGGTCATTTTGATCCAGAGCAGTATCATCATACCAGTCAGGAAACAGATCAGAGACAAAATGTTGAACCTACCGAACCGGTCACCAAACTTGCCGGCCAGGACGCGACCGAATACAGAGCCGCCGTAGCAAATCGAGAGAAGGCCATTTGCTTGGACTGCACCGACCCCATGACTGGTGGCGTAGGCGGGGATGAAGCCAAATGGGATGAGGAAACCAAGGTAGACAAGAAACTCAGACACGACGAACGCAATATAATCCCACCGGAATATGGCTTTTCGCGGATTGCGACAACTTGGGTCGGTGAGTCTCCCATGCGTATCGTGACCTGCTAGACCTTTCCTTCCTTTGATGAAGACGCACGAGAGAAGTAGAAAAGGCAGGCATATCAAGCCCATTGCCCGATAGGTCCATGCGGGACTGGAATGGCGGAACAAGGCGTTGATGATGCTTGGCCAGAATATGCCTCCCACGGATGAGCCTGAAGCGGCCATGCCCAAGGCAACACCGCGCCTCTTGTCGAACCATTCAGCAATGGCACCGACCGTTGCATAAAACCTGGGAGCCGTTAGCCAAAGCCATATCCTGGACGTCTCTTAGTGTGGCGTGCGCACAAAAGAGCATTTCTAATGCTGAACATGATGCCCTGAGTGAGCAGGAAGTGCCACCAGTGACTGCTGGAACCCGCGCCCATGCATGAGGCGAATACCAGGACTGATCCAAAGATTATCAGAGGCCTCGCGCCCCATCTATCAGATGCCGGGCCAATCAAGATCCCAGAGCTGAAGAGGATTCCGGTCTGGAAGATTGTTCAACCTGGCATTAGCCGTTGCCGTAGGTTTTCTAGGACGTGAATCATACCTGCAAGTTGCCGATCCAGGTGACTCGTGCTGACGTCCACGTCGTACCCCCTCCACTCGCAATGTTTTCGTAATAGTCTTGAAAAGTGCCCCATGAGTTGAGAAGGCCTAGAATCGATGACTTGTCAGTTTGTGAGCTCCTCGAAAGCAATGGAGAAGTCAATCACCGAATCCCGTGCAGAAATTGAGAAACCCAGCCAATACGACGACCCAGGCCCGAGTACCCCCATCCGGGATTCCCACATAATCATCGGTCGGTGTCTTTTCCGGATCTTTTCCATTTTCCTCCTTTGTTATTGTATTGTCTTTGACTGCCTCTTTTCCCTGAGGAGAGGGTGTGATGTCTGCAAAGACGGGATCCTGGTTGCGGGACAACAACTGCATTCTCGCTTCTCTCCCAAATCGGGCTTGTCGAAATAAGATAAAAAAGATAAATATGTTGTATCGATATTAATCAGCTCGCGAAATGAGTTAATGATGTATTGTAATGAATGTCGGGTCGGTCTGGCTGCTCGCGGAATCCACCAGCTTGGTCGATGGTGTTGTGTTGTTACGGATGGCGGGAGTAGGCGGTTCGAGACGAGAAAGAATAGCAGTTGAGCCACCGGTTTGTCCTTCCAAATGAGTGATTGCCTGTGAAGAAGTCGTATATCGTGAACCGAGGAAGTTGCTGTGGCAGGTCTGGCCGCCTGCCATGCCCGCACCTGCTGGTAACATCATTGGAGCCTGTGCGCATTAGTATCTGGATAATAAATCCTGTGAAGCGTATCCCCAGGCGTGGCTCATCAATCGAAGCATTTTGCAGGTTCTCGTTTCTGGAATTCCCGGCTTCTTATAGCAGCACCCGCCGTTGTTAGCATAGGCACACCGGCCATACTGGAAGACGATGATGGCAGCGCAAACCACTACTGAAAATCTCGAGCAGAAAGAGACGACGGAGACGCTAGTATAAATAATATTTTCGTTCTTTTCATTTGTTTTTATTTTCACAAGGATTTGTTTACATCGAGCCCTGTCTGGCTCCGGTTGTCTTCGCTACTGAACGGAAGCCCGCGCACCAGGACGGAGCAGCAGCTCAGCACGGACGAAGCTGACAGGACCATCGCGACTTCACTCGATCAACTTCCCCAGGTTTTCCAGGGTGCTTGCACAGAATTTAAGCTCCGATCGAACTTGTGGATATTGCCGCCTCGTGGGAAGCTATCGAGATGCGATCGAGTGAAGGGGAGGGGGTGTGAACGATTCTTGGACGGAGAATTGATGCTGGTCGAGATCTGAGAGCTACCTTTCTTGATATATCGCCTTGAAACTTTCACAATGGCCACAACTACGTGCTACCGCATGGATTCAGACATGGCATTGTGATTGAGAGTGCCTCTCGCCTTCCCCTCTCTGAAAAGTGCGTAGTTTACATCCGGCTACCCTTCTTCCACAGAACTACAGCTCTACCTCCCTCAACGGCCTTCGACCACCAGTGCCATGTATGTGTGGCTGGAATCAAACCATTCATGATTGAGTATCGTTCTTTGATATCACGTGGACTTGGTCTGTACGACTGCTCTGGCTGGCAGACTTAATGAGCACATGCGGGCTTCTGGGTCCGAGCCGGTGTTTGCTCAGCTGTGGCTCGATAAAACGAGCATTTACGAGTGCTAATAATATCTGCTGCCAAAAACGGCACCAAACCTCGACCGACGCCAAGAACCCCTTTCTCAGCCTCAGTATTCTGAGTCGATTGCCCATCATGGTGGACGAAGATCTCCCCCGGGTAGAATTAGGTTTACTGGAGACCGAGATTGCACCAGGCCAAAAAAGAAACAATATGTGTATGACCACGAGGGACAGAAACGCCCTGGTGTACCATCAAGGGTCAATATGGGTTATTTTAGAGCGTTCGGCAGCCAAAAACAGCATCAAAACTGGAGTCAGCACAGATTCTCCGTTCAAGTTCGCGATTCTACACGAGTACCAAGACCGATCGTAGGGCTGCAAGCATCTTGTGAATAATAGTGTGGTCTGGATTGGGGATGGGGGGTTTATTCTTGGAAAGCTTGTCGAACGACTGCAATGCACAGTAATGCCTTGAAACGATCACAGCCAGTCCCTCGCCTAAGCTTTCACAACAGCAGGTATCCTGGATCCTTTAGCGGGGAAAGGCACCGGCGTTGTTGGCACTAACGAGCTGTCATCAAGGCGAGCTGAGACTGGTCGAGTGATGCAGCCAAATGTAGAACAGGCAGGGGGATACCTCATAAGTCGGCAGTCAGACAGCAGTCCAGCTTGTCAAGCTTAGTCAATTAGTTCCTTGCAACGAGTCCAGGTTTACATTTAGAGCTGTAGATAGGCAGAAACCCCACAGTTCGCGTCCGTGCATAGGCAGAGTCAAGGAATATGGGATAATTTTGGTGACCGCTCTGTTGTTGCTGGCGAAGTGGTCCAGGAACGACAGGACGTCAGTGCCTGGGGGACACGCTTGACATCACCGCTCCTTACTGATGGCGGCCGGAGGATTCTGACTACTACAGGATCTTCTGCTTTGACGGCTGGCTCCAAAGCGACACCCAGCGGCGAGGCGAAGCTGAAGGGCACGATCTCTAACAGACACGCGCCTGGAGGCCAGCGTGTGCAATGTGGTGTGGGCGGGTGGATGGCCTCAGCTGGCGACCGCGAGGGTACAAGCCGTGAATTTGGGCAATGTACCTGCCAGCGTACCGTGGCTTACCTCAACCCGCAGCGTTTGAGGCCCCTGATCCCTGCCGCTATTTCTGTATTTGGGCCTTCAATGCTGCTGGCTCTGCAATATTACTCAGTCGCTCCTTCCAGCGAGCGCCCCCCACAGGCCCGGTCGCTCTTGCCCACCACCCCCCCGTACATCTAATTTCCTCGCCTGCACCCCCTCCTTCAGGTGGGCGTGCACTGACTCTGCACGCTACTGCAGGAAAGACGCCCCACCGACCTACATCGAGGCCCATGTTCTTCATCTCCACTGCCATCAACCCACTCACAAGAATAGAAGTCAGGGCCTGAGATCCTGTCGACTTGTTGACACTCTCCAATCGAGCTAGTTTGCTCTTTGAAACTGTGCACAGCTCTCATTTCCAAACATCTTTATATCTCGGGCGTCCTCACCATCATCTGCTACCTTCTCTCTCACCATCACCAACCTCCAACCTCCACAGCAACCATCTTGGATACGCTCTCGAGCATCACATCCAAACCTCATTCCCACACAGCCCCAACACAATCACACACAATGTCTACCAAGCACCGTTTGAGGCGATCTTGCGCTTTCTGCCGCGCCCGCAAGATCAAGTGTTCCAATGAGACGATCTGCGAGGCCTGCCGAAGACAAGGCGCCGACTGCATCTACGACTTTGAGCCCCCCCGACCCAAGACTCGCACCAGCATGGACGGAACTGCATCCCCTGCCCTGAACAGAGGCCGCTCTTCCACCTGCGGATCTTTCCACGAGAGCCCCCTTCTCGGTGGCCAGATGACCGAGGAGCCCTTCCTCGCCGACGAGATTGAGGATGTCGCTACCGTCCTTGACCGCACATTCTTCCAGAGCTTCAACGCAAACACAGTCAGAGCCACTCCTCGATCACGGAGCCGACCTGATGCTTCTCACCTCAAGAAGTCTAGCATCCTCTCCCTTCTCTCACACGACCTTGTTGGTCTCTCCGCTTCCCAGCTTGGCTCTCTGGGCTGCTCTCACTTGGAAGATGAGAGCGCCAGCTTCTTCCTCTCCGGCCTTGACACCGACGAGACCCAGAACATGTTTGACAATGTTGTTCCTGCCACAAACCCAGTGACTGAGTATGGCCAAAGGCAACAGACTCAGCTGATTGATGTCTGGTACTCCACCCACCCCCTTTCCTTCCTCGTTTCCAAGACTCTCCTCCTCCGCGAGCTCCGCGATGGTACTCACGATGAGATCCTCCTGGCCGTCATGCTTGCCGATGCCAACTTCACCATTGGAAGCGAGGCATCCAATGCTCGTGGACATGCCCTGCTCCAGTACGCCACTTCCCAGCTTCGCCAGCGTCCTCTGCAGACCACCAAGAACAGTGGAGTCGCTACCGACTCTGGCACTGTCGTCTACAGTGGCATCTCCACCCGCATCTTCAGCGGCATCTCCACAGTCCAGGCTCTCATGCTTCTTGGATGGAACGCCCTGACCTCTTCTCAGTTCCGCCGTGCCATTACCTACATCCAGCTTGCTGGTCGCCTGGCCACTGATCTCAAGGAGCAGGTCATCACCATGGATGGCATGCAGCTGTCCAGCCGCATCAACGGTATTGATGTCTATGACGTCGAGAAGGAGTTGATCGACCACCTCTACTGGACCACCTACTCTCTCACCCTCTGGGCTTACGTCCAGACTGGCCGGGGTTACTTCTCCGTCTCTCCTACTGTCATCCCTACCATTATGATCCCTGCCACTGAGGAGACCTCCTCTTCCATCCAGCTTGATCTCATTTCCGAGAATGTCAACACTCTCCAGAAGCAGAAGTCCTCCATTCGGGAGATGTGGGCCCTTGCCCATGTCTCCATCTCCATCGCCAACGCTTGTGGCTTCCACCCTCAGCAGCATGGTCACTCCATGGCTGGCCCAGTCCACAGGTGCCGCGACACCAGCCGCTTCCTCATGGAGAGCATCAACGAGCTCAACAAGACTGGCCAGGGTGCTTCCGCTGCCAGCTTCGTCCTTGTCATCTACCACACTCTGGCCATCCAGTTCCTCTTCCCTGCTCAGTCCGAGGACAGCATCATGGCTGATGTGGTTGAGCGTCTCTGCTACTCAGTCGAGGAGATCCTCCAGATCTTCGCTCATGCTTCCAACAACAAGCAGGAGGAGATCGAGTCTTCCCTCAAGACCGCTCTCCCCGCTGCTTTCGGCTTGGCCATTGACACCTGCTCCCGTGCTCTGCAGCTGATCAATGCCCAGAAGGCTTCCGGTGCTCTCCTCCGAACCTTCCCTTCGATCCAGGCTTACACTCCTAAGCTGGACTCGATGACCAGCCGTCTCTACACCATGAGCAAGGATGACTTCCTTGACCAGCGAAGTGGTCTCCGCGCCATTCGCAAGCAGCTTAAGGCTTCTATGCGCGGCACTAGCTCTCCCCGCTCCCACAGCCTTTCCCGCAGCGTCTCTTCCTGCAGCGAGACCCCTTCCCTGTCCCAGGCTCCTTCTATGTCTCCTGCTGGCTCCGACTTCTCCACCGCTCCCACCCCCGAGAACGATGTTCAATCAGTCTTCGTCTCACCCAAGGCTCAGAGCATGGCTCCCCAGGCTGGAATGGGCCAGATGTTTGTCGACAACAGCATGATGAAGTCTGCTTGGCGCAGCAACCCCGCAATGGGCACTGCCGCCCCCAACGATC